TGATGGAACTGTAACAACGTCCAAAAGTAAATCATATTTTATACGAAATGTTCACATGGAAATTATTTGTGTTGACAACGCAATTGCAAATTATATTTGTCGAACCCTGAATATAATAATCGAACACAAATGATGACATAAGATGACCCACGCATCCATCAGAGTATTATTTTTAATAAATAAATACCTGTTTCCACTCGATACATAAAAAAGATAATTATGTCATCACTATGTCCAAAGAAAGGACTTAATTTACTCCAACTGTTCATGAGTCAATTGCTTTTATTTATCACTTATTATTTGTTTGACCATTTACATTTTAGGTTTTATTTTAAATCATGTTTTTTTCTTTTTTAGTTTTCATCCCATTGCTAGCTTTCTAGTTCAGTTCCTCACCAGTAGTAGTGTGTCGGTGTTCAAGCGGCCGTGTGCAGAGGTGGGACAATGACTTTAACTCTCATTACATCCAAATTAGAGGGGGAAACAAATCCTCAATTCAAAATAAGATTCAGTATGTGCTTACATACAGTTTAAAATCACTAAATATTGAAAACTGAGTGAAGGTGTCCGTCCCCCCGCTGCCTCGTGCAATGTGACATTTAATAAACGCAATTTCTAGAGCAGTGATGAGTGAGCATGAGGCTATTGGCTCATCTCTACAAGTCAAGTGATGCAACTAACTATTGTTGTGTGATTATATAACTCAATCATTTGGCTGTGAGTTGTAATATCTATCACTTCTGATATATTCAAGACAAAGGGTCTGCTTATTAACTGTTGTTGCTATGGTGACACCAAGATGGACCCTGATCTTTTCAATTAACACCACTTCTTATTCAAACTTTGGTTGATTTTCCAAAAAAAGTATTTTCCTCGCATATTCTCAAGTCCTTTCTCAAATTGGGTTTTGAGGAGCAGCAGGAAAGGAAATTTGGATTCTTATGCGCCTCCTCTTTACATTAGCTTCCCTCCAGCACTGTTGGCTTGAACTCCTGCCATAGAATTGCCACGTGCTTTCCGAGGCTGAAAGGCTTCAGATTTCAACAGAGAACAACCAACCCCAGCATGCAGTGTTAGCACTGTGTGGCTAAATGACAAGATTTATATAATGATTTTCACTAATTTAGCTTTAGTTGCAATAGAGTGGCGCAGGAATGAGTTTTCAAACCTGGAAATTAGTCCATATTTATACCACTTTCTTGTCTAAAAGTATTATTTTTTGGGGTTTAAAGGCCTGCAATAAGGGCTATGGTTGACACTAGTTTGTGATATTTTAAAGTTTTGTTCTACGACAAAATATACGTCAGTAAATACCCCACTGTTAAATATTTGAAGCCAACAAGTGGCTATTCAAGTGCTGTACAAAAAAATGAACAATATTCAGATGTAGTGCAGCAGAAGCACATTATAAAGTGACATTGAAATACATTTTTAAGGACGATAAAATAAACAAGCTAAAATAGAAAAAGATGGGTATAAAGCACAAGAATCATAATTACAGTGCTTTACATTAAATGTTATTGATTGCATTTTCACTTTAAAAATCATAAAGTGGTGTTAATATGTGGAGATGATCCTGCTGAACAATAAGTGTAAGTATCATAAACGTGTGTTTGCCACTGATCTTATTTTCTGCAATATTCCAAAATCCAATGAAAATATCCCATTGGTTTTTTGACAAGAGAGCCATCATGATGCTAACTCCGTCATCCCTGCACCTAAAGAATATATACAAAACATGTTAGCTTAAAGGTGGGGTAGGTAATTCACTTCAGAAACACTTTTTGTTATATTCCATGGAATGCTCTTAACATCCTGATAGCAATGAATATATTAAATGCTTTGACAATAAATACATTAAAATGTCATCTCTGGAAGCCGTGGCGCTGTAAAAAGCACGACCAATCATCTGAGCCGGCCCGGCTAAAGTAACTGGATGGCCTACCTGCCTGTCAGCCTTCCATCTGTGCACAAACTTATCTCGTGCCCTCATTGGTCATGTGCGCGTTCGTGTGTGTTGGAGGAGGGGCTCTGTGAGGAAGTCTGAAGGAAGGGGCAGATTTCTTCCGGTTGCGTACTTTCAAATTCTAGCGCACTCGAGCTGGTTTCTCCATTCTTACCTACCTACCTTTAAGCTAGTTTCTTTTTAGTATGTAACGGTAGAGGATTGTACAGACTTGTGGCGGTTTCCTGGTCCCTGAACGCAGCACAGATTGAAATGAGGGTGCAAAGCAGAGAGCTGGAGGGCAGAAGTTGTCATGTCTCTCTGTTTGCACGCGAACTTTCTCTTCTGCAGCGCTCAACAACCTTGTCCTCCCTGCACCCTCTTCTTCTCTCCCTCCTCTGGTCCCGTCTGGATCATCTCACCTGATGACCACAACCCTGATGCTGACGGTCATACTGTTCTGTTCCCTATTTCTCTTCCCCCTCAACCACTTTACCACATGATCCTGAACGGTGGCTCCTAAAGCAGGACTACTTTGACATCGTGAAAAGCCCCATGGACCTGTCGACCATCAAGAGGAAGCTGGACACGGGGCAGTACCAGGAGCCGTGGCAGTACGTGGACGACATCTGGCTGATGTTCAACAACGCCTGGCTGTACAACCGCAAGACGTCGCGCGTCTACAAGTACTGCTCCAAACTGGCCGAGGTATTCGAGTCCGAGATCGACCTCGTCATGCAGGGCCTCGGGTACTGCTGCGGGAGGAAGGTGAGGAGTGGTTTGGTTTTCTAATGTTGTCTGGTCCCAGGTGAGGATTATTTCCCTTATTGAAGACATTTTGCTTATTTATTTTGGTCAGGATTGGGTTTGCGGTAGATTTAGTGGAAAATATTCCTTTGTTTTATTCTTTATTTGAAGTCACATTGTATTAATTAACAGGTTGCACAATCATCCAGAGTTAGATTTATACAGTGATCCATGTTTTAAGGTTTTTCCAGTACAATTACACTCAAACAAAGAAAACAAGAAACAAGGGGTGTTTTCTGTTTTGAGACAGAAAACACAGCAGGTAGTGATCAAGGCATATTTAAGCAAAGGAAGGCTGCTCTGGAAAGATTCTTCCAAGCTTTCTCAAAGTATTGTGTAAAAGTGATTCTTTCCATTACAAGGATTTCAATTATATCATAACGGTCCTTGTAATTGCTTTCTAGCAGCTATGTTTTATATTCCTGTGAGAATAATGATATATTCTAAGTGTTGAATATGAGGATGCAGCCACCAGTTTGTTGGCTTAGCATCATTTTAGCATTTAGATAAGGTTTAAGCAAGATGAGGTTAATCTAGAGAAACGTGCAAAAGTGTTCTGATTTTGTCAAAGTGGATCCTAGTTCACTTATCATGGCTGAGGATGACACTGAATACATTACACTATCAGTCTGTGTCAAATATTCCTCAGATAACAAACCCTGACACATCCGTTTCTTTTTGCCTCTTCGTCTCTGCAGTTTGAGTTTTCCCCCCAAACTCTGTGCTGCTATGGAAAACAATTATGCACCATCCAACGAGACGTTGCCTATTTCAGCTACCAGAACAGGTAAGGGCTTTCGGCGCATTGGAAACACATAGCCTTTTTATTTGGTTTTTAGAAAATATGATGGACACCTTGCTGTTGTATTTCTGCACATTGTGTATTGTATTTCCTGTATGCAACCAGTGCAATCACAGAGGAGTTTTAATTTGGCTTCAAATGGTTACCCTGGCACCAACTTCCATCTTCATAGCTCACCGTTTTATTAATTCCATTATGTGTTCATTCATAAAGTGGGCTCCTGTCTTCCGAAGCACTCACTGACTAACTCTACGAGCACAACTCCTGCATTTTTCTATGATAAATAACTGCAGAAGGTTGTGTTGCATCTATGTTCACCACCAGAAGAAAGGTTCCCACTTTATGAATGAGCTGAAGGATGATGGGTCTCTGTTGCTTTACCGTTTATTTTTTTCCTCATCCACCCCTTCATGTCCTGAGACTCATACCCCCCTCCCCCCTCCCCCTCCTCTTCCTCAGCTCCTAGTGGTCTCTCATGTTGCTGTAATGTTGTTGTTGTTTACCACTGGACGTCTGACGCTAATCTTTGCTTTGCCTTGGCTCTCTGTCCTCTGTTGGTTGTTGTTCACATCCTGTCCCCCCCGTCCCCCGTCCCCCTCTGTCCCCTCCATTGTCCTACCTGTAACGACTATTTCACGCTTCTTTAATATTCATTTTGACTCCCCTTTCCCCGTCCCTTCTCCCCCCTTCTCTCCCTCCTTTTTTTTAACGCTTGTGATGTCTGCATTGGCCTGTTTTGGTGTGACCAATCATCCACTCCAAAATTTGCGCGCAAAATCAAAACACCCGCCCACTCAAAAACCCTGCATCACGATTGGCTGCTTCCTCCTGGCGACGACCTTCCTTGCCCTCTGCCTCCTCCTGTGTGTCCTGCCCTGCCCTGATTGGCGGCTGCTTCTTCGTGCCCTCTCTGTGATTGGCTGTGCTGATGACGAACGGTGTAGTTCACCAAAATATGGGCTTCTTGCTGACAGGTACCACTTCTGTGAGAAGTGTTTCAACGAAATCCAGAGCGAGACCGTTTCCCTGGGGGACGACCCCTCCCAGCCTCAGACGTGAGTACCGTCACACACTTCCTGTCTTCCTCTCACACACACACGCACACAGCAGACAACACAACACACCCCATAAAAACATAGAGATTCTCATATAATGCTTGTCCAGATGAGCAGTTATGCAATTCTGGTATTAGTAGCATCAAAGGTCTAATGTACCAACTTTAATAAGCTCCCTTTTTTTACAATTCAATCAACTAAAAATTGGAAGCATACATTTAAGGTCGGATTTTATTGATATCAAACAATCAAAAATGCACAAATATCTGCAATTTTAGACATTGGGTGTTTCTCAATGTCGAGGACGCTTCCTTGGTAGGACATGTCTTCCGAGTCACTTCCTTCAGAAGCTAGGCAAGAATCCTTCCTGGCATTTGCAAAACGAAGAGTGGAACAGGCGAGCAAGTGTGCAGGTGTGCGTCATATGAGAGGCCCGCCTTAAATTTTCTGCCACAGATTTTGGGAAAATGGTCCGCGCGCAAAGCATTGTGGGGATTTTAAGACCGCGGAGGACACACATGTGCAGCCTCGAAATTTCTCGCTACGAAGGACGCCGGCCTCGGTAGAATTCCAAGGAGCCTGGACATTGGAACAGTCCTTCGGCGGGACTCGATGACGTAGCATCCTTGAAATAGTGGCTCTGGATTAGATTAGATTACTTTATTGTCATTACAAAAATGCAAGCACAGTGTAACGAAATGTAAGGATGGTCTAACCAGAGTGCAAAACAGTTACATACACAATTATCAGAAGTATGTACCAAAATAAATGATACAAAAATAAAGGTAAATAGATGGGAAATGTATAAATAGGAATAAATACACAGATAATAATAAATACAGTGAATACAGAATTGCGCTTCAGCACACGACAACAACTAGGCAGTGTGGGACAGCGTGGGGTTCATTGTCAGCAGTCTGACTGCTGAAGGGAAGAAGCTGTGTGTAGTCCTGTTTGTTCTACCCGGGAGGCTGCGGTAGCGTGTCCCAGAGCGGGTGCCACGTAGGGGGACAAACAGTGTATGGTTGGGGTGGGAAGAGTCTATGATGTTTCGTGCCCTTCGCAGGCACCGCTTTTCATAGACTGAGGCTATGGAGGGGAGTGGCATCTTGATGATGCGTTGTGCGATCTTCACCACCCTCTGCAGTGATTTCTTGTCCTTGACCGTGCAGTTACCGTACCAGACTGAGATGCAGGTGGAGAGGATGCTCTCGATGGTGCAACGGTAGAAGTTCATTAGCACCTGGGAGGATAGGCGGAGTTTTGCCAGTTTCCTCAGGAAGAAGATGCGCTTGTGAGCCTTCTTGACTAGGGCTGAGGTGTTGGTGGTCCAGGAGAGCTCCTCCGAGATGTGGACTCCCAGGAACTTGAAGCTGGTGACCCGCTCAACCTCTTCTCCACTAAGATGGACTGGGGAGTGCGTGCCGTCTTTGTTCCTTCTGAAGTCCACAATGACCTCTTTCGTCTTCTTGGTGTTGAGAGCCAGGTTGTTGTTGGCGCACCACTCTGCCAGATGCTCAACCTCTTCCCTGTATGCCGTCTCGTCATTGTTGCTGACAAGCCCGACCACTGTAGTGTCGTCTGCAAACTTAACGATGGTGTTTGAGCCATGTACAGGTTTGCAGTCATGTGTGAAGAGGGAATATAGGAGGGGACTTAACACACAGCCCTGTGGGAGACCAGTGCTAAGGATGAGATTCGAGGATGTAAGCTTGCCTATTCTAACATGCTGGGGTCTGTTTGTGAGAAAGTCCAGTATCCAGTTGCAGAGGGAGGGGTCGATGCCAAGGTCACTGAGCTTGGTAATCAGTTTTGAAGGAATGATGGTGTTGAATGCCGAGCTAAAGTCAATGAACAGGAATCGTTCGTATGTGTTGCTCTGATCCAGATGGTAGAGGGCAGGGTGTAGTGCTGTGGAGATGGCGTCATCCGTACTCCTGTTCCGACGATAGGCAAACTGGTAGGGGTCAAGTGTGGGTGGGAGGCATGATTTAAGCCGAGCCAGGACCAGCCTCTCGAGACACTTCATGATGGTCGATGTAAGTGCCACGGGTCGGTAGTCATTAAGGCTTGTTGGAGAGGCGTGCTTGGGAACCGGCACAATGGAGGTGTATTTGAAGCACGTGGGGACTTTTCCTTGGGCCAAGGACAGGTTAAAGATATCAGTCAGGCCTGGACATTGGAACAATCCTTCGGCGGGACTCGATGACGTAGCATCCTTGAAATAGTGGCTCTGGAGCATCCTTCCTTGACATTGAGAAACACCCATTAACCCAATAATCATCAAACTATGCTTAAAAGACTTGAACACTGAAACTAACTACCTTATTCTGTCTTTTAAGCAATATAAATATTTGTTTCTTAGCAAAAAGTAGACATCCCTTTTTTTAGTAAAAACATGAAACATTTCATCTGAACAGGATGAGCATAAATCATACGGTTAGCTGCAAAGAATAAAGAAATCAATAAATAATTAGCAATGTGGTCTGGGTCTGTCTCTTCCATGTGAATACCTGTCGTTTTTTTAATGATACTCGATTTTTAATTTCTCTGGCACGATGCTGATTTAGACGCTTTTTAAAGTCACTCATGTCAGGATAATCATGATTATCCCAATAATGGAAATTCACAAGGATCCACTGGTATAGGTAAATACAATAACATAACATTTAATGAGAGATGATAATAGGTATATAAAAACAGAGCTCAATTAGGATTTGGAATCAAATAAAAAATATACAAGTGTGTATGGAGATGCAATTTACAAGCTAACGTGATATATTATCCTTTTAACATCCCGTCGTCAATCCAGGTAGTAATTAAGGATATATGGGGTTAAAGAACCGGAGTCCTATTCCATTATTCCTAGCGGTATTCAGGCGACCGGGCCTGCTTTGAACACTCTAATTTTTTCAAAGTAAACGCTTCGGACCCCGCGGGACACTCAGTTAAGAGCATCGAGGAGGCGCCGAGAGGCAGGGGCTGGGACAGACGGTAGCTCGCCTTGCGGCGGACCGTCAGCTCGATCCCGAGATCCAACTACGAGCTTTTTAACTGCAGCAACTTTAAGATACGCTATTGGAGCTGGAATTACCGCGGCTGCTGGCACCAGACTTGCCCTCCAATGGATCTAACCATGAGTGAAACAATCAAACATAGGTCTAGTTTTAAGGCTGCACCAGTTCAATCAAATGTACATATTAAACCGGAGCCATCTAGTGCATCATATTCCCAAAGTTAAGCATCACATTTTTGGTATGTTTGGGAACGATTAGATCTTTAACAGAAGTTGAAGTATATTCCCGTTGAGCTTCAACATCCATTTGTAAAATAATGAGGTTGGCTCATTTTATGAATTGGGAATGCCAAATGTTTCTGCTTCTCCTATATGAAGATTTGATCCATATCTGTTACATTCTGTGTAGTTTGAGGGTCATTTCACTTGATGACATTTTACAAACCTAATTGAAATATGAATCTGTATTGATATGAATTGATAATTGCCGCTTAAGATCTGTGGGTTGAACAATGTTTGAAAGAACACTAGGGTACATAAAGTACTTCTTCCTCTTTGTCTTGAAGTGATTTATTTTTCAGTTGGTCACCTCACCCTCTTATAGTAACCATGTGATATTTAAACACTAATGCAAAACCAGAATGTATTTCTCTCATCTCAGTGGTGGAGATGTTTAACAACATGTAGTGTTAAAATATTAGGTTAGTGAAAACATTATTATTATTATATTGTGTGTGTGTGTTACAGTTGTTCAATTTCCCATTTTCTCCACAGGACCATCAACAAAGAGCAGTTCCAGCGAAAGAAGAACGACACACTCGACCCCGAGTTGTACGTACCCCTTTTTTACTCATTAATAACCATTGCCACCATCCCTGTGATCCTTTAAGTGTACACACTTCGTTAAATTGCATCATGAGTTTAGATTTAAAAACACTTCTTGAGCCACTTAAAACAGGTTCTTATAGAAAAGGGAAAAAAAGATTACAGCAGGGTTCTTACGGTCATTAAAAACCTGGAAAGGTCATGGAAATTCAAAATGCTAATTCCAGGCCCTGGAAAAGTTATGGAAAACAATATTTTTCCCAAAGTTTTGGAAAAGTCCTGGAAATGTAACTAAAGTTGCATCAAATATAATTTATATTTTATCTAATCGCCGAAATAGTAATACTATAATGATAAATACTGTATCGTATAGTAATGAAACGAGAGAGATTCGAGTTGCTTTAGCGTGAAGCTAGTAAGCCTACTATTGGATTTGTTTTAGAGAGGCACGACATGTTTCAGATGCAGACCTTATTTTCCTGTTCCATGTTAAAATAAAAAAATGTTCAGTGGTACGCTGAGAGTAATTGTTTAGGTCATGGAAAATTAGGTAAAGGACATGAAAAATCATTGGTGAAAAAGTGTATGAACCCTGTTATAATACTAATAATGTCCTTTTTTCATTTAAATCATTTTTTAAGGTATTTTATTTATTTAGCATCTCTATATCTTCTTCAGGGGATCAAACAGGGTATATTCTATACTGTGGGGCACGTTGCGTTATTAACTGTGGACATTGTGTCTGTCTTTTGTCTCCCGCGCTCTCTTCTCAGACTTGTGGAATGTATTGACTGCGATCGTAAAATGCACCAGATCTGCGTTCTGCATCATGACACCATATGGCCTTTGGGGTGAGCCAACGATCAAACACACACGCACACACTCTGTACGTTCTGTTTCTCTATGTGACTGGGTCTGGAAAATAAATCTGACCTTCTTTGTTTTTCTTTAAAAAAAATGAAAAAGCTTTAGATTCATCCAAAGCATCAATAAAGGTGCTCAGAAAAAGTACTAATACACATGAATACACATTTTGAGGTATCTGTGGAGTAGCTTTGAAACATAAATGTTTATAATCACAGACTTTTAGCTGCAGTTCGAGCAAAGTGTTGTATCTGAGAATGTTATAGGAGTCTAAAGAAGGGAAATGCAACAGACAATCATACAAAAAGAAAGTCTTGCCACTGGAGTGAGGAGTCGTCATTCCTCAGAGTTTGACTTCCTTCATGTGTGGTCTGTTTGTAATTAAGAGTGATTTAAAGAAAGGACATTAAAGACATCTCTTAATTGAAAACACTTAATCTGTCATGTTGCTCTACGTTAACCTTTAAATGTAACCTTTTACTCTTTTCTTTCCCCCGTACAGCTTTACATGCGACAACTGCCTGAAAGCGGCCAACAAAACGCGGAAAGAGAACAAATATGCAGCCAAAAGTAAGTGGAGTAACTCTGAGCTACTGCATCATTTCATGCCTGTGTTTTACGGCCCTGTCGTTTTGTTTTTATCCTATTTCTATGATGTATTGAATGAAGTCAGACCGGGGGGGACAGAAATCCTTTATCCGTCCCACAGTGGGGAAATGTCTATTGTAACAGATGGACAGATAAAAGGCATGAAATAATGATGGCATATGGATGTGAACGAGTCGATTTAAATTCTGGACTGAGTACATAGTTTTGCTGATTGAAGGATCGACTCTAGTCTGCTCAAGGGGGTTTGGTAAATTAAGGCTTAAAAGCAGACTAAGAAATATTTGGTAAAAAGAAATATTAGTTTTTTGGCGAATTTGAAAAGTTATAATTCTCGATACTTTGATAAAGCAATTGTTTTCTTCATCCCTATTGATCTAAAAGTTCAGAAAGGGGCAGTGAGGGTGATTTAAAATACCCATAGCTGCATTCGGTCCATATTACATTACATCTCATTAAAGGTGGGGTAGGTAATTCACTCCAGAAACACTTATTGTTATATTCCATGGAATGTTCTTAACATCCCGATAGCAATGAATACATTAAATGCTTTGACAATAAATACATTAAAAAATGTCATCTGTGGAAGCCGTGGCGCTGTAAAAAGTACGACCAATCATCTGAGCCGGCCCGGCTAAAATAACTGGATGGCCTACCTGCCTGTCAGCCTTCCATCTGTGCACAAACTTATCTCGTGCCCTCATTGGTCATGTGCGCGTTCGTGTGTGTTGGAGGAGGGGCTCTGTGAGGAAGTCTGAAGGAAGGGGCAGATTTTTTTCCCGGCTGCGTATTTGGAAATTCTAGCGCATTTGAGCTGGTTTCTCCATTCTTACCTACCCTACCTTTAAGCTGACACTCATCTAACTATAAGGGCACTAAACTGTGAAATCAACTCAGAAGAAAAGCCCCAAAACCTGCAGCTACATTAGCTTCTAATAAGCCATAGTATTATAAGTGCATATCTCGCTGTCTGTTCCCGCCCTCACTGTATCCACCTCTCCTTCCTCCTCCTCCTCCTCCTGCAGGGCTTCCTCAGACCAAACTGGGGAACTATCTGGAGACCCGAGTGAACGATTACATCAGGAAGCAGAACCTCCCCGAGTCCGGAGACGTCACCATCCGCGTGGTCCACGTGTCGGACAAAGTGACGGAGGTCAAGGCGGGCATGAAGTCCAGGTAGGAGCTCGCTTTTCACTGCTGGGTCGAAAATGGATCTTTGGTTCCATGCGTCAATCATATTTTAAATGACAGCTTGTTGATAGACTTTCATATTGTCAGGATACTCAAACCTTAATTTAACAGACACATAGAAACACACGCTGAGACGACTTCCCGTTCCTAAAGCTTGGTTTTTGTGTTCTTAAATGTCCTGAATTTTTGCTGATGTGAAAGCTGATCCAAATGTAACAGTTCAACATGGAAATAAACAACTAAGTGTTCATTTTAAACTCTTGTATATACTGTAGTTTAGAAGTAAATCATTGCATCAAAAGAGTGGCTCCTCAGTGGCTTAAAGCTTGGTCTTAGCCTCTACAGCAGAGGTGCCCAGTACGTCGACCGCGGTAGATCGCGAGTCATTAAAAAGAAAAAAAATCCAGCTCCGTTAAAATAGACAACGCCGGTTTTGATCCCGCCTCCCTGCCACTTAATTCAGGAGTTTACTTGATTGACAGAAAAAGCGACCTATCGCTTTCCAGTCTGTTAACCCAGAATGCAAAGCGATGCAAAATCAGTCAAGTGCCGGGAAAACTCAAATTAAGTTAAAGAGACAAACAACAAAATGAGTGCGGGACCGAGCAAGAAGCTAAAGACAAACCACTTCCACCCAGAATGGGAGGAAGAATATTTGTTTGTGATGTCACATTCAAAGGTTATTTGCCTTATTTGTAAAGCAAGCGTCGCTCTGCCAAAGAAAGGTAACGTGGAGAGGCATTATCGGAGTGTTCACAAGGCATAGCAGCGACTTCCCTCCGAGTAGCGAGTTGAGAAAGGTCATGTATTATTGCTACACAAACATTATCTCGCAGTCTTCGTGTCGCCAACTCGTTTCTAACATGCAAAAAGACAAACAAATGCGTCTATGGTCGGTGTATTTTCGACCTTTCCAATCGAGACGAGATCTCTCTCCCGTCTGTGCGCGAGGGGGCGGGGCAGTTTACACACACGCGGCTGCTACATGCAGCAACACACGGAGGAGATGGCGGAGAGAAGCGCTCCAAGGTGTGGTTAAATGTTACCCGTCTTGAGGTGGACAATGCTCCTTGCCAAGGAGTGTTTATCATGTGAGGGCGGTAACACGAGCAATTTGTCTAAACATTTATCAAAAGTGCTCCACATTCAGACGGAGGAATGCACCGGGCTCGACTGTCTTTCTAGCAGCTCTGCAGCCCCATCCACGAGTAACGGTTCCACGTCAGGTGTTATGTGTGCTAGCAGCAACACACGGATTTAACTACATGATACAAACATGGGTTAATGATTAGAGGAAACTGAGTTATTTAGTTTGTTAAAGTTTCAGCTATTCTGTTCACAGTTCTGTCATCAGATTATTTAATACGATTTGTTAAAACATTGTTGTTTCTTTTGATGTGAAATATTATTTATTTAATTTAAATAAAAAGCAATGTTAGTTTTGTTCACAATTTGTTTAGTTAATAATATATGTATTTTTGAATCAAGTATTCATCTGTATTGTCTTCATTGTTAGTTTCCACATGCCTAAAACAACCTCAAGCTAAATCTAAAAGTTGATGGCTAAATAAGAGCCTTTGAGAAATTGTGCAAGGCGTAATAGTCCGAATAGTCGATTAATCGTTTCATTAATCGATAGATGAATCGATTATCAAATGAGTCATTTGTTGAAGCCTAGTTGTCCCATGTATAAATAAAACATGTAATTCAGCAACCCTTGCAATTTGGGATTTTATTTTTGGTTGGTAGACCTCGGTGAGCTGGTCATTTCAAAAGTAGCTCACCAGCCAAAAAAGTGTGGGCGGGTGCCCTACAGTTTATAGATATGTGTAACAACAAGCTTTAATATCTATTGAAACATTTTAAAAACAGATCTGTTGCTGTGTTTGAATTTTTGCAACAATATCATGAATATGGGCTTCTCCAAGTTAGTTTCCCGTGGGTTCTGACCAGCAGGGGGCGCTAGATGCTGGACCGGTTTCCATGCAGCACTTCCTCCATGCTTAAGGATGTTGTTACCAGGCAACAGCTGGTTGGCCATGGTACACAGTAGAGTGGATATTAGGCTGTAGCAAGAATTGAATTACTTTATTTATCCTTTGGTGAAATTCGGTTCATGACAGTTTCTCCATTTTAGAATGAAATAAATAAATGGGTATATTTATATAATTATTTGAAGTTAGTCAAATGTAATTGTATACACATGATAGTCAAATGTGCACTATCAAAATATTTATTCAAACATAAAAAGTTGAAGTAAAATGTTCAATAAAAGATTAATAAATACAAATATTGATATAAAAGTTTAAAATTCTCGGGTAATAATGTTTTGAAAGCATCAATGCTCAAAAAATGTTTACATACCGAGGTATTTGATCAAAGTATTGCGATAATTGATTTTATTGTTCCAGCTCTGCTTTCAACACTAAAGCTCCATAGAGAAGCTAATTATGCCTCGAGCATTGCAGATATGATCTATGTTTGCACACCTCCCTCTTATTTGAGATGTTTTGAACATGGTAAAGAGTTTCTGATTCCATGTCCTGTATTTTCCTCACCCTGGCTTTCTGTTCGACCTCCAGGTTTGTGGACAGCGGGGAGATGTGCGCCTCCTTCCCCTACAGGATGAAAGCCCTGTTTGCATTCGAGGATATCGACGGAGCTGACGTGTGTTTTTTCGGGATGCACGTCCAGGAGTACGGCTCCGACTGCCCGCCTCCCAACCAGAGGAGAGTTTACATCTCCTACCTGGACAGCGTTCACTTCTTCCAGCCGCGACTCATCAGAACAAATGTCTACCACGAGATCCTGCTGGGATACCTGGAGTACGTCCGGAGGATCGGGTAAGAGAACAAACTCATTTGACTTTGTGTTTCTTGCAATGAAATGAAATAAAAAGGAGATAAATGTACTTTTTTCTAATGAATGCTGTTGGGAAAATACTGAATGTCCTGTTCCAATATGAGAGTACACGTGATAACAAAGGTATCTCAACTGCAGCTGTGTACATGACAGGATGTATGATTACCTAGAAGAACATCAGGACTGAGATTTTTTGAAAAAGTCAGAATTTAGAGATTTTTTGAAAAAGTCAGGATTTTGAGATTTTGAGGAAAAAGTCAGGATTTTGAGATTTTGAGGAAAAAGTCAGGATTTTGAGAAAAAGTCAGAATTTTTAAGATTTTGAGGAAAAATACAGGATTTTGAGAAAAAAGTCAGGATTATTGAGATTTTCTGAAGAAAAAAAACAACATTTTGAGAAAAAACTCAGTATTTTGTACATGACAGGATCAGGATGTATGATTACTTGGAAGAACCGGTATTCCTCCATCTTGTGACTGTAACTCCCTCTCTTGGATATCAGCATGTGAAGAACACTGTTCAGGAACTAGTTGATGCTCTGTATGTGACGACTACTTCCATTCTGGAGAGGATCATAAATACATGGATCCTGATTATTGAAGCTCAAGCCGCTGACGAGTGATATTTTTCTAACAAATACATGCCTTCTTCTGTCAGGTATACGACGGGTCACATATGGGCCTGTCCACCCAGTGAAGGCGACGATTATATCTTCCACTGTCACCCCGCCGACCAGAAGATCCCCAAACCCAAACGGCTGCAGGAGTGGTACCGGAAGATGCTGGACAAAGCTGTGGCTGAGCGCATCGTTCACGACTACAAGGTGAGACACGATTTCAAGTTATTGTTCAGACCTAGTAAAGCTATTGCACTGGGCATATTCTAAGATCATTTTCATTGGTCAAGAATAACATTTGAACTTTAGATGAATGTTTTATTTGCTAAAACAGTGAAAAGACTCATTTTAAAAAATGACCATAAAGACGTTACAACTCTTAAACACATTTCTCTTTGTTTCTCAGGATGTCTTCAAGCAGGCGACAGAGGACCGGCTGACGAGCGCTAAAGAGCTTCCGTACTTCGAGGGCGACTTCTGGCCCAACGTCCTGGAGGAGAGCATCAAGGAGCTGGAGCAGGAAGAGGAGGAGAGGAAGAGGGAGGAGAATAGCACCTCTAACGAGTGCACAGACGTGAGTACAACAAGATAACCACATCATTATCGTAATTTTGGTCATGGCAGTGCTCTGTATTGAAACTGACTTTAAAATATGTATTTGCAGGTGACGAAAGCAGACAGTAAGAATGCCAAAAAGAAGAACAATAAGAAGACCAGCAAGAACAAGAGCAGCCTGAGCCGAGCCAATAAGAAGAAACCGGGGATGCCCAACGTCTCCAACGACCTCTCCCAGAAACTCTACGCCACCATGGAGAAACATAAAGAGGTGAGTCCGCTTTGATTACAGCTAAAGCGACCAGGGGGTCCGCGGGGTCTTAAAAAGTATTAGAAGTTGATAAATCAATTTACCGAAAATTAAGGCTTTTAAAAAGTATTAAACGGCATTTTCCAAGGTGTTACATTTTGTAGCTTGTTTTCAATATCAATTGTCCAAAGAGGTTGTATTCTACAGTGTGCCTGAATGTAATCATTGCGTAGTAGGGATGTAACGGTTCACAGAAGTCACGGTTCGGTACGGGTTCGGTACAACAAGGAAAAGCAAAGAAAAGTCCCAAATGCATAATTTTATTTGCTGTTATTTATTTTTAACAGTAGTGCAAGTGTTGGTATGAAAATAAGGAACTCTAACATTTGGAGTCATTATTACACAGTTAAAAACAAACCACAAACAGTAACACACAGATATTGCCATATTAGTTATAATGGCTGATGTCAAACAAAAAGGTTAAATAAACTGTACAACTAAAAAGAATGTCTTGAAAATATTAAAATAAATAATAAGAAAGTGTTTCAATCACCGCTGTCGAACAACGCCGACACACCGTCCTCGTCCGATCCACAACTCGCACCCCATCATTGTTGTAGTCCACAGGGAACCCGAAATGTTCCCACACAGCTGATTTTAAAAGAAGCAGCTGGGTCTTCTAGCTCCTGTGTGTTGTGTGAACTCGCCATAGCCACTAACTGTTCTTCTTCATGTATTGTGTTCGTTTTGTTGTTTTGTTGTTCTTCATTTGTTATTTACGGCCGGCTGGCTTTTAGGCGCAATACCGCCCCCTGGATTATATATAGTGAAATACTGCCCTGAGTGACAGACTTTTTTCCCACTCGTAAAAAAAGGCGTATTCGTCGTGTGACTGCAACCGTGACATCCGAACCGTGACGGTACGGGACGAATACGGATACCGTTACGCCCCTATTGCGTAGGTGTGTAGTGTGATTCTGTGTAGTTTATTTATGGCATCCCGTTGGGTTTGACGTCATCTGAACAGGACATCGCACGCTCACTGCTTGATAGCGTGCGAAGCTCCGTTTACGCCGGTTGTTAAACAACATCGTTATGGGGAAATGCAAGTCTGCGTCCAAATGGTTGGAAGATACGGAGGAAGGACAATCAATACTATAGTCAATGTGAGGTAAAGTGTGTCGCCAATTTAACCGGTTAAAACTCCAACTAAACAACTAAAAAGTGGCGATGAGGTCTTTAAAAAAGGTCTTAAAAGGTCTTACATTTGACTTCAGGATTCCTGCACACACCCTGAATACTGTCTTTAGTTTAAATGGCATAATTATAACATTATGCTGCCTTGTGTCGACTCGTCAGTTATCACATGACTCCACTTAATGAATGAGGACCATAACAGTTCTGCGTTTAGAGAGGATAGCATCACAAGGGCTCCCTCGACACAAAGCAATGGTATTTTTTAATTAGATTTTTGGAATATTGTATATAATAAATAAAATCTGTGGCATACACATATTTATGATACTTACACGTTTTACTCGGCAGGATAATCTCCTCATATTAACACCCCTTTATGATTGTTGACGCGTAAATGCAATTCCCAGAAGTAAAAAGCTAACGTTAGGCTATAAAGGAACTACATCCCGGTCACATGACTTCACGTCACCCCCACTAAGCTAAGAGGCTAATGTGACAATTCGTACTAATTTCTGCGCCGCGTTAGCAGCCATAGTCCCTACTACAGATTGGTTGCTGTGTAAAATAGAATGCCATATACAGAAAAGCAAAAAGCCTTTACTAAAGAATAGTAAAGTTTTAATTTTCAACACTGCAAGAAGCACTTTTGTTCACTTTGTGTTTATATTTAACAGAAAAAAGGACAAGAAAATATATATACTTAAACATTTAGAAGGGAAACTAAAGGAATCACGTGTTGACAAACTTGTTTGCGCTGGGGGATAAAAAGCAAATTGTATTGTTAGAGAAAAAAGCTCATTAATGAAACCCTGTCTGTACGAAGAGCCCGATTCCTCCAGCTGACCCTCTCCTCTTTCTAATCCCCAGGTCTTCTTTGTCATCCGCCTCACCGCCGCCAACTCGCTACCCCCCATCTCGGACCCCGACGGCCTGATGGCCTGCGACCTGATGGACGGCCGCGACGCCTTCCTCACTTTAGCCCGGGACAAACACCTGGAGTTCAGCTCCCTCCGGCGGGCCAGGTGGAGCTCCATGTGCATGCTGGTGGAGCTGCACAACCAGAGCCAGGACCGCTTCGTCTACACCTGCAACGAGTGCAAACACCACGTGGAGACGCGCTTCCACTGCACCGTCTGCGAGGTAAGGAACACGCACTCTCTCAAATCCTGCTTTTCTGACTGGAGATCAAACTATAGCAGGAAAAAAGTGATTCTGTGGATATTTTTTAATTAAGTCAAAAGTCGGCTTTAGTGTTGACAAGATAGACAATGTGTTTATGTGTTTAAAACCTTATTTAGAATTTCAATATAGCTAAACATACTGTTGCCTTTGTGTTAACAGACCACTTGTTCACTTAAAACATTTATTATATATATCCAAGTTAGATTGCAGTTTTCCTTGGTTTCCGATTAGCATTTAAGAGTTGTGATCAAATCAGTGTTTTGCACATGATTACGAACTTCACAAAATATGGGTCATAAAATCCGATTGAAGCATTAAGTTGAACATGTATAACTGACTCCAGTTCTTGGGTTCATACTTATTTTTGCATCGTTCTTCTCCCCCTCTCTCCTCCAGGACTACGACCTGTGCATCACCTGCTACCACGCCAAAGGTCACGAGCACAAGATGGACAAGCTGGGTCTGGGCCTGGACGATGACAGCAACAACGCGTCGGCGGCAGCAACTCAGAGCCCCGGAGACTCTCGCCGCCTCAGCATCCAGCGCTGCATCCAGTCGCTGGTCCACGCCTGCCAGTGCCGCAACGCCAACTGCTCGCTGCCGTCCTGTCAGAAGATGAAGCGCGTGGTGCAGCACACCAAGGGCTGCAAGAGGAAAACCAACGGCGGCTGTCCCATCTGCAAGCAGCTCATCGCGCTGTGCTGCTACCACGCCAAACACTGCCAGGAGAACAAGTGTCCCGTCCCGTTCTGCCTGAACATCAAACAGAAGCTCCGTCAGCAGCAGCTGCAGCACCGGCTCCAGCAGGCGCAGATGTTGAGGCGGAGGATGGCCAGCATGCAGAGGGTGGGGCAGGCGGCCGTCGGTCCTCCAGGAGCTGTAGGACTTCCTTCACCCGGTACAGCTCCCAGTACCCCGACATCTGGAGGAACACAACCTCCAACACCGCAGACGCCAACTCAGACCGGGCCTCCACCAACGCAGCAGGGAATGGGTCAGCAGCAGCAGCAGGGCGGGGGAATGCCTCCGCAGAGCAGCATGCCTCCTCACAACCTCCACCATCAATTCCAGCAGATGCAGGGTGGAGGAGGCGGGGGGATGATGAGCTCCCCCCAACACCAGATGCTCCCTCAGATCCAGCAGCAGGGTGGAGCAGGGAACCCGCAGCAGCACCACCAGAACAATCTGCCTCCATATGCCGGCCGGCCCCCAGGGTCCTCCCCGCTCCACCAGTCTCAGGGCAAACCGCTCCTCGGGTCCGCCACGCCTCCCCAGCAGCAGCAGCAGCTCGGAGGCATGCAGGGAAACGTTGGGGGGCCTCAACCTCCCAACCAGCCCCAGGGCCCGTCCTCCCTGCAGCAGCACCCCCCCTCCGGACCCCCACCTGCAGCGGTGGAGATCGCCATGAAGATCCAACAGGTGGCGGACGCCCAGAGGAAGATGGCTCTGCAGAGACAAGCGGCTGCAGGTTTGATGCCCTCTCACCCCCACCATCAGCAGGGCCAGGGGCAGCAGATGGCCATGGGGCACCCGGGGGCCTTGGGGCACCCGGGGGCAGTGGGAATGGTTGGAGCCCAGGGTCTGCCTCCTCAGAACCAGGCCGCGGTGGCAGTGGCAGCGGCGGCGGCAGCGGCTCGGGCCCACATGGAGCAACAACAAGGGGCTCCACCTGGGATGATGGTTGGTGCCGGAGGGCCCATGCAGCAGCCCCCCCAGCAGGGTAACATGCCTCAGGGCCAGATGCCCCCTCAGGTTCAGCTGCAGCAGCAGAGGATGGGGGCCCCGCATCAGAACCCCCAGCAGCAGCAGCAGTGGGCAGTTCAGGGGATTCCCCCCCAGCAGAGGCAAGCGATGATGAACCAAATGAACCATCCGGCCATGACTGCAGCTCAACAGCAACAACAGCAGCAAATACAGCAACAACAACAACAACAGCAAATGCAACAACAGCAGCAACAGCAGCAGCAGCAACAACAACAACAACAACAACAACAACAACAGCAGCAACAACAACAACAACAGCAGCAGCAACAACAACAACAACAACAACAACAACAGCAGCAGCAGCAGCAGCAACAATCTCAGGGCCACGCCGCCCTGATGAGCATGGCCCAGCAGCAGCAAGGTGCTGGAGCCGGTGTCCCCGGAGCAGGAATGGTCCCTGGAGTTGCCGGTGTTGCCGCGGCGGCGGCGGGGGGGAACATCCCCCAGGCGGCCCTGCAGGAGCTGCTGAGGACCCTCCGCTCGCCAAGCTCTCCGCACCAGCAGCACCAGGTCCTCAACATCCTGCGCTCCAACCCGCAGCTCATGGCCGCCTTTATCAAGCAGAGGGCCTCCAAATACAAGGGGGGCCCGGGGGGGCCGGGAGGGCCGGGCGGACCGGGCGGTGTCCCCTGGGGGACCGCCAGGAGGACCTGTGGGGAGCGTCATGCCGGGAGGAGGCGGCCCCCAGGTCAACATGAGCGCTGCAGGAGGGGGACAGCCCGGGATGCACATGGGTGGTCCGGGAGGAGCGAATGTTACCATGGCGACCATGGCCCAGCAGCTACAGCAGCAACAACAGCAACAGCTGCATCAACAACAGCAGGCGCAACAACAACAGCAACTACAGCAGCAGCAATTACAACAGCAGCAACAGTTGCAACAACAACAACAGCAACTACAACAACAACAACAACAGCAACAACAACAACAGCAACAGCAGCAGCAGCAGAGGCCGATGCTCAGCAGTTTACAGCAGCAGCAGGTTGCCGCTCTCCAGCAGCAACAACAGCAGCAACAGCAGCAAGGTGCAGGGAGAGGGATGCAGGGCCAGGGGCCGCAGGGCCAGGGGCCGCAGGGCCAGGGGCCGCAGGGCCAGGGGCCGCAGGGCCAGGGGCCGCAGGGCCAGGGGCCGCAGATGGGAAATATCAACAACCCTCAGTTCAGAGAGCTGCTCATGAGGCGGCATCTCCAGCAGCAACAGCAACAACAGCAGCAGCCGCAGCAGATGGGAGTGAGTCACGCTCAGTTCCAGCAGCCGCAGCCCCCCCAGCAGGGCTACATGGGGCAGGCTGGGATGCAGCCTCCTACAGTTGGCCAGGGGCCTCCAGGAGGGCAGCCTCTTGGCCCCCAGCAGCCTGGGGGGGGTCCTCAGGGCCAGCAGGGTCCTCAGGGCCAGGGTTACTCAGTGGCGCAGCAGCAGGCCCTGCAGCAGCGGCTGCAGCACCAGCACCACCTGCAGATGCAGCAGCAGAACGCCATGTCAGGCCTGCAGGGCGGTGACGCAGGTCCTGGTGGGGGGGGGGGTCCTCAGCAGCCCCCCCAAGGGCCACAGACCCCTCAGGGCGGACCCCCTTCGTCTCAGGCTCTGCTCCAGCAGGCGCTCCACCAGCGGCTCCTCCAGCAGCAGCAGCAGCACCTGGGCCCCGGGGGGTCTCCGGCGCACAGCAACCCCATGAGCCCCCAGCAGCCGCAGCAGATGGCTCAGTCTCCGCACCCCCACCCGCACCCCCACCTCCAGAACCAGGCGCTGTCCTCGTCGCTCGCCAACCAGGTCCGGTCTCCGCAGCCGTCGCCCCGGCCGCAGTCGCAACCGCCGCATTCCAGCCCGTCGCCGCGCATGCAGCCGCAGCCGTCCCCGCACCACATCTCCCCCCAGATGCAGACCGGATCCCCCCACCCGGGCCACATGAGCCAGCACCACCCGGGGATGGTCCAGCAGCAGCAGCAGCAGCCAGGGAACCAGCAGCAGCAGAACTCTATGGATCAGTTTGGGTCGGACCCGAGCGCCATGATGTCGCAGCTGAGCGGCATGGCGGGTCTCCACGGGCCGGGGGGGGGCAGCGGGCAGGACCCTCTGGGCCAGAACATGAATCACAACCCTTTGGACATCATGTAGGAACTCAGTCGTGATTCTCCGCACAAACTGCACTCACCCAGGACAGTGTTATTGTTACCTAGCCTTTCTTTTATTTTATACGATCATTAAATGTTATTTAAAATGTTTTCAATAAAGATGCATTGAACTGAACTTCCTATGGGAGATGAACAATAAATCAAAGCAGTCGTTAAATAAATTAGAATAAATGAATTGTAAGTTATTGCTGTTAATATATTTTTTTGCCAATTGTGGACAAAGAAGGGGGTTTCTCTAACGCGCCCCCCCACTCACCTCCACCTCGCTGAATACAAGAAAGGTGGTATTTTCTGGGAGGGAGGGGGGTTCATAGGCCTTTTTTAAGAAATGTTTTTAAGATTTTAAAAGTGGCCAAGATTAAAGAGTAAATGATTTAATGCAAAGAACTTTTCTATCTGTTTGATTTCCCGTCATTCCTGCAGTCCGTCTTTCGGCTCTGCAGAGTGATGAGGATTATTATTAATGTAAATCCAAACATGATGCATATCTTCATTTTTTATATATATATTTGGGTTTATTTATTGTTTTCTTCAGGGGGGGGGGAGGGGGTGTTGCGGAGGTGTTATGTACCCTGAGACTGCTACAATTCGTATAGAAATATATTTTTGTTATGACTGTTATGGGGGGGGGGGGGTAGTGGATATTTCATTTAGGTGGGAATAATAAAATGTCAGTGTTTTATCGCAGCGGCTGTGAGACGGACATGTTGTGACGCCGGACATCGCGATGGACTTTCCTCTCGCAAACATGCAAACCCCCTCCCTCGAATGTGTGTGCACTCCTTCCTTTTTAAAGACACTTAATACAGTGGAGGCTTGGGGAGGTGGGGTGCATACCTGTGTGCCTGAAACATTTTGCGTACATGGGCTGGGATGTGAAAATAACGGGTGAGGTGGGGTCCTTTTTTAGTGTTTTAATTTAGTTTTTTGTTTTTAAGGATTCTCGGAACAGAGGATTTTGATCCAAATGAACTGTGTTGCACAGAAATGAGGAGAAAAAGGAGAAATCGTTCTCCGTCTCCTTCTGCCTCTTCCCCTTTGCTGCTCCCCTCGGACTTTAAATCCTTCCTCCTCCTCTTCCTCCTCTGTAGGGGAAGTTGCTCCCCCTCAAACTCCATCCTCTTTATCTATCTGCTAAGAACTTTCGGAGTTTAATTTAATATTTTTTACTGTACAAAGGAAACACAAACTGTGGACTCAAATACTGTTTTTTATAATAAAATGAAAATGACCAACAGTGACGTGTCCGGCATGATGAGGCTGTCTGTGTGAGGCATGGGAAGTGGGCGAGAAAGCAAATAAGTGAAAGTATTCATGTTAACTGTAGAAATACTCCATTACAAGTAGGAGTACTGCATTTAAAATGGTACTAGGTACATGACATTGCATTTAGCTGACACGTTTATCCAAAGCGACTTAATGCGTGCATTCGACCAAGAAGATACAAACTTGAAGAAAACAGAATCATAAAAGTACATCAGGTTTCATAGAGCCAAAACATTCAAGTGCTACTCAACTGGCTTTAGATAAGCCAGTCCTTTGTTATAATATAAGTGCTTTGTTGTTAGTAATTTTATCGCTCGAAGTGGAGTCGAAAGAGATGAGTTTTCTGCGCCGGAAGATGTGTAAGCTTTCTGCTGTCCTGATTTCAAGCCGGTACAAATATAGAACGCAAAAAAATAATACTTTAAAATGTGCAATATGTCATTATAAAAAGGGCTTTCAAAACTTGAAGGATTTTTACTGGTTTGATATATGTGCCTCTCTTCTTTAAAAGCTTTGATCTTACTGATATTAGCTTTATTTTTTGGGATATTATTTCTAATGTTTCAACAGCTGCAGGCATTATTTTAGTTAACTTGCCAAATGCTGGGTATTACAGTACACACTCAGCTGTAAGTAAACGTAATGTGTTCAAACCCTTAAGTAGAAAGAAGCATGTAAGTATAGGCAGAATGTTCTTAAAGTATTAAAAATGAGGATGTGCAGTTAAATGTTCCGTGTTAAACCTAATCAAAGCCCTCCTTTATATAGTATGTTATTTGAATCCAGACCTCTTTGATCACAGCTGGTTTGCTTTACACACACACACACACACACACACACACACTGCTCCTCCTCCTCAGACATGAGCTGTGATCATAGGCTGTGATTCACTGGAAACTGGAAACTCGTCCTCTATGACGTCACTTACAGTAATGTGTATTTCCTCAGAGCAACACGCCCCCTAGCGGCGACACGTGGTACAACTGTTAACTATCAAAGCAGTTTAAAAAAAAAAATTCAGACATGGTAAAAGCCAAGCAGGTGAAGAAACATTTTTGTTTTAGTTTAGTGTTGGTCGTTGAGAAATGACCCACAAAAATCCAAACAAAATGTGATTTAAGAAAATTATCCTTTTTCCCTGTTTTTTAGTCATAAAAACACACAGGAGAAAAAACAAGAGATTAAAAAATGGATCTAATATAATAACATAAAATATAATCTTCCTTCCTTTTCGGGGCGGTTTTTGTTCCTCTTCTGTACCAAAATCAGACATTTTAAATAGTAGCTGCAGCACTCACTTCTTAAATGAAACATTAGTTGATTGAAATTAGACTTTGAAGATACTCTGATTACAATCTATAAATATTGGATATTTCCTGTCGTCTTTCAAGAGGCAACTTTGGGATTTGGGGAGGCAAATAATAAAAAAAGTAAATACATCAAACTTTAGATTTGTGTATCAAGACTGCCTTCATGCCTTAAATGCACTTTTATTAAATCAAACACAACATAAAAAGATCTGTATGAGATTTAAATGTCCTTAATTAAAGCACTATCTGTATATAAAGAGGACGTTGAGTAATGCCACATAATAGACTCAATGCAGAGTTATTTTAATACATATTTATTGGAAATGTCGAAATAAAAATACATTTTTCAAGAGAAGACAATATGTTTGACAGTTTATCTTTGTCAGAGAAAGTAAGTGACATAAGTTAGTTTAGCTTATACATGTGACATGCAATAAATACATGGTCATTACGGTCGAACCTAATGCACATTTGCTTCCTTTATTACACATCGGAGCAGCGGCGGTGTAAACTGATATCTCCTCTTTTGAAATACACAAAGGCTAGTGAAAAGATTGGACTATCAATTGGTAATACAAAAATAGAACCAGGAAGTATTTCATGCTTTAAAAGCAAAAGGACAGACGACAGCAAACACAACTGTGTACTTAATGTTGTGCATCTTCGCCTCCTTGAAATGCAGAACTTCATCTAAGAGGCAGACATTCATTTATTTCCTTTTTGTTTTATGTCTTTTGTGACAGAAATAAACCCCTTCAACAGACCGCAGGACAGTGCTCTGTGCGGCACAGACTGACAGCAGGGCATGCAGGAATCTCTCTGTGAATACTGGAACACATAAAGAATAGAGCAACATCTCTACAAAACGTTATTCGTAAGAAAAGAGGCGACTGAAACAGGCCCCGAGAACAGATTTGAGCGCCTTGCTGGAAAGCACTGAGGACGACTGGAATATAAGTAGCTGCTGCATGGAAGTAGTAATGTGCACTGTTACATATGCTGTCAGTCAGTAGTCCAGGCGACGCCTGGAATGAAACCTGCCACTGAGATCTATGTATTCCTCTGGAGTGCTATGGATGATTTGAGGATATTTTTGGGGCCTCTGGCTTCCTATCGCGCCTGATAGAGTGGTGCAGGAATGAGTCCTGAAACCAGTCAGCATTTTAACGCTTCTGGTTTCCCTCATTTAAAACTCAACGGTATTTCTAACGTAATTGTGGTTGAATGCCTCAATTATGCTCGGTGGTATAAAAAAAACTAGTTTAAGAGATTTGTATGGTTTGTTTTTGAAGTCATGTGACCATGCTGTAGTTTGTTTTCAGCCTAAAGTTAGTGTTTTTCTTCTGGCGATTGCATTTACGCTTCAAAATACTTCAGTAAATACACCACTGGTACATTTCTGAAGCCCTTATTTGTCAGTGATTGTTAAGAAGAGTCTAAAAAAGACTACTTAACGTCAACTTTAGCAGCCGTTAGCTTAGCGGTGGAGACGTAATGTCATGGTTCGTTTGAAGCTAACGTTAGCTTCTTACTTCTGGAGATTGCATAATGCTTGTAATATCATAAAGTGCCATTAGTATTCAGGGATTATCCTGCTGAATAAAATGTATAAGTATCATAAAAATGTGTTCGCCATGGATCTTATTTTCTGGAACATTTTAAATTCCAATGTAAAAATCCCATTGGCTTTTTGTCAGGGAGAAACTCTCGCAATGCTAACTTCCATGTCGGCCTGCAGAAATTCGCTATTACTGCACCACTCTATATATGCGCCACAATAATAAAATGATTTATTTATTTAAAGGCAACAATGTCTTCAGTGAACTCAGTAGGATATGAGTGTATCTTTGTAAACGTGTGAACTTAACTAACAAACACGACTATTTACACGTATAAAATGAGTGGCAAGTCTACTTATGGTTATTTGAATCTCTTTTATCTCAACCTTTAACAGCCCTTGAAGAAGCCTTTGGCCATCGGGGCTTCTTTAATCGTCACCGTCAGACAGTTGATCGTCACGTCAGTAGATATCACCTTTCTGGGATGTTCATCCTCAGCGGGATCAGCAGGCGTTGTTTCCGTTTCGCTCTGATTGTCGCTACCTTCTTCCTTCTTATTCGCCGGCTCCTCAGTGGTGGAGAATGTAGTGTCGCTGCTCCCTCGGAGACTCACTATCACCGAAGTTGTGTTGTCGCGTCGAGAAACGCTGCACTCCAATTTGGGACACTCCGACTCTACTTCATCCTCACTTTTGAACCAATCTGACTCCACGGAAACCTCATCGTCCAGTGTAGCCTTGGGCGTTGAATCACTGTCTTTTGATTGGTCGCACACAACGGTTTCAATCGTTTCCGACGTCCATCCTCCCGATCTGTCAGTCCATGTTTCTGTGCTCACCGTTGCCAGCTCGGTGTCCGACTTCTCCTCCTCCTCCTCAGTCTCGAAGTCCTCTCGCTCCAGCAAGGGTGGGGAGCTGCACTCTGCCCGACATTAAAGAAAGAAAATGGTGTTCACCTTCAAATGTTCAAAGGGTCATGACCACGTGAATTAATTTCTAAGTGATTCACTTTACAAACCATAGAAACTGTCTTCACACGTCTCCTCTGTGATGCTTTCGGAATCTTGCTTCTCTTCTTCGCTGGTGCCACTCCAGTCTTCCTCAATGGGTTCCACTCTCCTCTTCTTCTGGGGGAGGATATCTTTCTTTGAGGGTCCATCAGACCCACATATGGACACCCTCTGTCTGCTCTTCCTCCGGGCCAGACGTCGGTACAGACTGCCTCGTTCACCCTGGTCCACATCTGTACTCATGGATCGGGTGAGGGAGAGTCGCAATCGAGGGGGGGGGTTTCTCCGAGGCCTTGCTTGCACTTCGGAGGTCCATGGCAAAGATGTTCTGTGGCAGAGCAAAAGTCCAAAATCATTAATGTGTTCATTTTGAGACGACAGTTAAACAATGTTAGAGACACAATACTGTCAAATGTGCAGAAAAATACCTTAAGTGTCATACGATACTTACATTTGTCCCTAATGAAAAACATGTCGCTAAGCTAATGAGTTTATTGAGGAGTATTGCATAAAGCCTATTTTTTTCAGTTTTATCAGTGCCTGTATGTATAGAGTTATGTGAATAGTGTAGATGTGCACTTCAGTTACCATTGTTAGGCTTTACTCACTTAAAGGAGGGGTATGTAAGTTTGAGAAACCGGCTCGAGATACACTTTGTTATATTCCATGGAATGCTCTTAACATCCCGATAGCAATGAATATCTTAAGTGCTTTGACAACAAATCCATAAAAAAATGTCAAAGCAGTAGTGCTGTAACAAGCATGACCAATCATCTGAGCCGGCCCGGCTAAAATAACTGGGCTGAAGTCGAATAGTCCATTTAGCTTAGGAACCTTCCTAACCGAGTGAAATGACCCGGAAGTCCCTCAGTGGCAGCCATGATAAGTGCCGTTCCAATTCTCTAGATGATAGGAAAGGAGGTTTCAAACTTCCTTTATAACCTCCTTTAGCTTAGGAACCACTGGACCTCCCTAACCGAAAGGAGAGGAGAAAATGCTGCCCACAATGCATTGCAGCCGCATCATTTGCCGTCACTCAACAGTCGGCCGTTCACGGAAACAATCAATTATGACGGAGAAATAATATCATGAAAGTTACGGTGCTTATTAAGCATTTTAAAACGTATGTGGTAACTTGCCAAAGTGCTTTGTTTTGAACGTTCATCAGTATTATAATCAAGAAGAGAAATATGAACGTTAGTTTTTACTGAAATTATCAAATAAAGTCAACATTTCACTGAGCTGTGTGGGTTTGTTCAACTTTTAAAAGATGTTTGAATGGTGATATACACAGTGATATATGTTAAGGACTAACGTTTATAATAAATACATTTGTATTGATTTTAAGATCTTTAGTTCATACAATCATACGTATTGGGACCATTTGTATTAATGTGGACCTTTTTTTATTTCAATTCAACTTTGGTCCTGAAGAATATGTTTCTCTGTTGTCCACGTTCATAAAGCAAAACAACAGCATCAGAGCACGGTGCAGAGTCTCTAGATGAGTTTACAGTAGTCCCTCGTTCTTATTAAACATCCATGTTGTAGTCCGCTGTATAGAAAACTGTAGTTTCCATGGTTACCCCACAGCAGCAGACGCACAAAATGATGTCCGCTGGCGCATCATAAACACGTCAGATAGTGAAAGTGCATTTTGATTCTCTAAAGTACCGCAGGCTCTTCTCCTAAATCCTTTTGAATTCTCCTATCCACTATCCCTTAACCCCGTGACGTTTCACTCAGAGGTCAAGGAATAGACGATGGGGTTAGAATTTAGGAGCTGATTTTTGGATTATTCGACTGCCCTGGATGGCCTACCTGCCTGTCAGCCTTCCATCTGTGCACAAATTTATCTCGTGCCCTCATTGGTCATGTGCGCGTTCGTGTGTGTTGGAGGAGGGTATTTTCAAATTCTAGCGCACTCGAGCTGGTTTCTCCAAAATTACCTACCCCACCTTTAATAGCATTACTGTCAGTGTTAGGTCGTAGCGTCTTTTTTTGCCAGAAAGGTGCTGGCTGGTTGCTGGGCAGAAACTCCCAGCGTTTCATTGAAAATATGAGGGAAGCTCTTTCTTTAATGAAACTCTGCAAGGAGAGTCTGCCCAGAGTCCAGACAGTGTCTTTCTTCCAGAAAAGATGCTATGTGGACACAGGGCCTTAGCTAGCTTCTTCAAAGTGGACAGAACAGTGAAAATGAAAAAAATAAATAATGCCAAACTCAGGAACAGAAAATGAGAATGATGTTCCCTTTAGAGAATGTGAAAAGGTCCAAGTTCATTTTTTTTTGTTTTATATTATGCACCATTAGAAGAGGTGGCAAGAAGTAGGCTAACTGACAAAACCAATGCAATAAATCTTGCTCTGAAACGAACCGTAGGTTAAGTAATGAAGAAATATTAAAATATAAAACAAACAAGAAAGGACAGGACAAAAACTGGTGAGTTTCAATAAAATGATAAAGATGTTAATATTTTATATGAGGCAGAGTTAACATTTTGCTAGCTAGCCACAAAGTTGCTAGTGCGTAAAGGTTTAGCTAGCTAGCTAAAAATGTGCTAGTGCGATAATGTTTGGCTAGCTAGCTACAAAGTTGCTAGTGACAATGCTAACAATAATGTTGACAATAACCATAACAGCTGCTAACGCATCTTGGTATCTCCTCTTAAAACACTATTAATTCAACCATTGTCTTATGATCCACAAATGATTTAACTTGTGAGAGAATGGTCACCTACTAGCATCTAGCTAATGGCACACATTTGAGATTACGGAAATGTTTAGGGGTCAGTCCAGAATTGGAGGACAATTTAGACACCAACATTTTTTAAAAATTAACCTTTTATTTTATAATTTTTTTTATGTATTTAGGAAAAACAGATAATAAACCATCAAAAAAAGTGATTAGCCCAGCTAAGGCATCAAATGTATATTTTCCAATGAAGAATTACCCCTGTTACTCTAATTATAGTAACAGGGTTGAAAGTAACAGGGTTGAAAATCAATGCTAATTTGAGCTTTAACCTCAGGAATTATTTCTGGATGTAGCATGTAATGCTACTTTCAAGGCAAGGACAAACTTGGATATTTAATGAAAGAAAGATAACTTTGAAATTAATATGCTTTATTCTGATAATATGAGTAACAGGGTTGAGTGGGTCAGAGTGCCACACTCATTTAAGACTGAAAAGATTGTAAAAATATGAAAAATAAAAGAGGACTTAGTTTTGGTCTACCCATGGCACTAGCTAGCACATGGCTTGCTGATGTCCTTTCCACTCTGTCATTTGATTTACAGTTTTTTCACTTCCTCTGCCAATCTAAAAAGGTTTGGGTAACAGGGTTGAACGCATGTTGAGGGACACACCTTCTGTGCAAAATTACTGTTATTTAAAATATGTTTATGATTTAACAAAGTGATTTTACCATTACAAGAGACATATATCAATAGAATAATACCAACAAAAGTAAATAAAATCCCTATTTTAAATGTTATATTTACATGCAAGTTGGTCCCCAAGAAGCGGGGACAACAGAAAAATGCCATTTTAGGGGATGTTCGAGAGCTATTTGATCATTTAAATAATATTTTGAAACCACTTTATATACATAACAATAACCCCACTGCTAGGTCAGCAGTGGGGTTATTGCCATTGGCGACACATAATGTAAATACTGGAAAACTTTGTGACACAAAGGAAATGTATGGAGAATGGAAACTCTTGTGATATTTGTAATTGTTCTTACCTTCAACAAAGAGAAAAACTAAAAATAATTGATCCTACTAAGTATTCATCTAATGTAATGTAATATTCATCTAAAATGCTAGCAGGCTTCAGAGTTGATAGAAAACCGAACTTTTTTTCATACTGAATTTCAAACTGAAGACCTGGGATTTGAAGTACGATGGCTATTAGCAAGCAGGTAGTCAGATCATGAAAGATGCTGGAGTAGCACATTGGGAATTGGGAAATGGGCTTTACCCATACCAGTGACCAAAAGTCAGGATACCTTGGACTCTTTGGTTAGGTTTGCGAGTTGGATTGCAGAATCTACTGGCCTGATTTTAAGGAAAACTGGTGGTATGGTGTAGCATCGACCAAGGACAAATACATTTAGAAACAGATCTGAATCACAGGGCGATGGTCTGAGTCCCTTAGAGGTGAGTGAGTTGTGTGGGAAGTTAGAGGGTCCTAATAGTCTACTTTTACAACCAACAATTGTTATATATTTAGATAAACAAACTCCTCACTGAGCAGTCAAAATGAGTGGAGAAAGAAACAACAAAGACATGTGAGACTAGAATAAAGGTTAGTGTGCTGTCAGAATTGGTAGAGAAAGGTACAACAGAGACAAGTGAGGATAAAGGTGTCTTCTCACCCGCAGGAGGAGCCTCCTGGGTCTGAGACCTTTCCTCCGGTACGCCAGAGCTCTGATCTTCTCCTGACTGGAAGAAGGAAAAGGAAACAGAGGGAAGGAGAGAACAAGTGACGAAGAGAAACAGATTGTGAGCTAGAAAACATAAACGCTGTGCAAGCATTAAGTAAAAGCTCTCAAAGATTACTCACTGCTCTTCGTAGGCCAGGACGAGGCGCGGGTCCAAAATATTGTCCTCTGGTTCCCAAGTACTGTATCTGCCAACACACACACATTTAATTAAGTCAGTCTATCTATCCCTCCGTCCATCTACCTATATACTGTATCTGTCTGTCTTTTGAAAGTCTAACTAATACATATTCTATAAATAAAACTTGTCATCATTGTTTAGACAGTCATTCAGACCCGGCGTCATGGGCTGTTTTAAGGGCTGAATACAACATTTTAATTGTTTTATTATTATGTTGTTGTTATTTGTAGGGCTTTGTCCTAATATTTATTTTTGTTTTTGTTTTAAACTATGTTGAAAGATTAGTTTAATATCATTTTTTTATTTTTGCTATGAAATTCTGAATGAAAGGCTGCGCGTGAGACTGGTTTTTCGCTGTGTTGAGTCTTGTGGTTGAGCGAGTCGTGTGGGTTTTTGAGTGAGATGCGGCACAGCAGCATGTCAGTTTACTCTTGCTAGGTTAGTTTGGCTATTATCATTTATATTTATCTGCAACAATGGATATCAGGAAGTGGTTCATGAAAGGAATATGGCAACTCAGCGCCAGATGCAGGCACATTAGAAGAAATCAGTTACGTTACCAACGAGCTAGCAAGCCAGCCAGGGACAAGGGAGGCTGGCAATCAATTATATTTTGAAGAGAAATTGACTCTCAAGCCGTCTCTCTCACAAACTCCGGCTCTGTGCGCAAGCAGACCGCTGCACACGCTCTCTGCCTCGCTCAATATCTCTCTCTCTCTCTCCCTCCACCTCTCCACTGTGCGCTCCTCAAGTTTGCCTGCGTGCTTGCCCAAGTTGGCACAGCGTTACAAATGTGCCACCATACCAACCAATGGATGTAGCCTATAATAAGACCGTCAACAGCCTTATGGCAACCTAAAACCCCTCTGTTTCCGTAACAACAATTCACGAGCATCTCCCTCACCTCCCCCCCCCCCCCCCCCCCCCCCGTTGACATTTCCCGGGAAATGTAAGTTTCGGGAAGGGCCCACCCTGGTAAATCAAATGCCCGCCCAGAGACGTATGTCTGCCGTCTGCAGTCATTGGTGAAGAAGAACCACATTTCTTAAAAATAGAATAGAATAAAATACAAATAAAAAACAAAACAAATATATACACATGCACAGTAGAAAATACATATATTCAGAAGAGTATCTAAGAATACACACTATGAAATATACAGAATCAATTCCAATCCTTAACACTGTCCAAACCAAATTTGTCACGTGTTATTTCCTTCCGCAACATCAAGGATATTAATGTAACTACACTCTCCAGTGGCATTGACAACCTCCCCAGCATAAATTGTTCATCCCCGCCTGATGAACTGGTTTCTCATTACAATAACAATCTTCATAAACTGCAAAATACCCTGGCTCCTTTAAAAACCCGGTCTGTTTCCTTCACCCATTCTGCTCCATGGTTTACACCTGAACTACGCCAACTCAAAACAAAAGGCCGTCGATTGGAACGCCTCTGCAAAAAAACTGGACTTGTCGTTCACAAAGAGATGTACAATAACCACATTCTCCACTACAAGGACACTCTCTCTACAGCCAAATCATCATACTACGCAGTTCTCATCAGCTCTGGCGAAGGGAACACAAGGGTCCTGTTCTCTACAGTGAAGAACATTCTACGACCACCGGACTCTCTTGCACCTCATCAGTATTCAACTGCCTACTGTAACTCCCTCATGTCATTTTTTAATGACAAAATAGAAAACATTCACCAGCAACTAACTCCTAACACCACCTGCAATATATCTCTCCCTGTTTTCACCGACCATCTCTCTCATTCTCTTTCGAGTTTCACACTTCCCTCTGCTGTTGTAATATCTGACCTCATCAGTAAATCCAAGCCATCTACCTGTCAGTTAGACCCTCTTCCTACCCCCCTGGTAAAAGCCTGTCTACCTTCATTGTCCTCCCTTATAACTGTCATCATACACTCCTCCCTCACCTCTGGTCTTGTTCCCTCACTTTTCAAATCAGCCGCCATCACGCCCATACTGAAGAAACCTGGTGCAGACCCCAACAACTTTAATAACTACCGTCCCATATCTAACCTACCATTTCTCTCAAAAATCCTGGAAAAAGCTGTTGCATCCCAAATCCATACCCACTTGTCTGACAATAACCTGTATGAACAATTTCAATCTGGTTTCCGCCCCCATCACAGCACAGAAACAGCACTGGTGAAAATCACTAACGACCTCCTCATGGCAGTTGACTCCGGACTACTAACTATCCTCATCCTCCTTGATCTTAGTGCAGCTTTTGACACCATTTCCCACAGCATCCTCATTGACAGACTGACCTCCATCGGGATCACTGACACACCCCTCCTCTGGTTTAAATCATATCTCTCTGGCCGCACTCAGTTCATCCAACTCAAAACCTTCAAATCACAGCCACTTCCAGTCACAACCGGTGTTCCCCAGGGCTCTGTCCTGGGGCCTCTTCTTTTTATCATCTATTTACTTCCTCTTGGCAATATCTTCCGTAAACACAACATCCACTTTCATTGTTACACGGATGACACCCAGCTCTACTTGTCCTCCAAACCAACCACCATCCTCCCTCCATCCTCCCTGTCTGACTGCTTACAGGACATCAAATCCTGGTTTTCCTCTAACTTTCTCAAACTTAACGACAGTAAAACCGAGGTTCTCCTCATTGGCACAAAATCCACCCTAACCAAACCTGACAGTTTCTCAATTACTATAGACAACTCTTCAGTCTCCCCCTCCCCTCAGGTTAAGAGTCTGGGTGTCATCCTCGACGGCACACTTTCATTCAAATCTCACATCAGTAATATCACTCGGTCTGCCTATTTCCATCTACGCAACATCAACCGCCTCCGGCCGTCCCTTAACCCTAAGATCACCGCCATTCTTGTTCACACCCTGGTCACTTCCCGCATCGACTACTGCAACTCCCTTCTCTTTGGTCTCCCTCTCAAATCCATCCACAGACTTCAACTGGTCCAGAACTCTGCCGCCCGCATCATCACCAGAACCCCCTCCATTAACCACATCACTCCTGTTCTTCAGCAACTTCACTGGCTCCCCGTCAAATCCCGTATCGTTTTTAAGATTCTGCTCCTCGCCTTTAAGGCCATCCATAACCTCACTCCTCTGTACCTCTCCGACCTCCTGCACATCAACACACCCATCCGCACACTCAGATCTTCTGCTTCCCTCAGCCTCACTGCACCCCCCTTCCGTTTAACCACCATGGGGTCTAGAGCCTTCAGCCGCTCTGCACCCCGCCTCTGGAACTCCCTCCCACCTGACATCCGCAACACTGACTCTCTCCCCATTTTCAAATCACGCCTCAAAACATATCTCTTCACACTCGCATATCCACCCTGATCATTATCCATCACACATCCTCTGTTTTATTTATTTGATTTGTTGCATTGTCTTGTTTATGTTTCTTATGCTGGTGTTAGGTATTGTGTATCTTGTTTTTTATGTGTTTGTACGGTGACCTTGAGAGCCTTGAAAGGCGCCTATATAAAATAAATGAATTATTATTATTATTATTAATCCTGTCTAGGGTTGCAAAGGGGCGGGACATTTCCGGTACATTTACGGAAAGTTTCCATGGGAAGTTAAGCTGGGGAATTTTGGAAATATTCGATGCAAAACTAAACAAAAAAAATGACATTTCAACAGATTTTTTTTAAGTAGAACATAAGAAGTTTTAATTATTTTATTGAACAATTATTTGTTTAATTGAAGAACGAAAACATGGAATACACAGTGCCTGTAGGGGTTGTGGTCTCAATAGCCATGCAGTAAGCAGTGTGCTATGGCATGGATATTCAAGTGTACTTGAATGGCATCTGTTTGTTTTAGTCAAGATTATGCTAAAATATACTTTCCCCACCTATATTTAAGTTCCCTTTGAAGAGCCAACCTTCAATTTAGAAAATTTCCATTTATTCCCATGGAAAGTTTCCATCTTTGAAAATTCCCGGAATTTTGCAACCCTAATCCTGTCTAATATCCAAATCTACAAAACGGACAGAAACAAAAACATGTTGTACTATATACTTTATAGATGGTGCACATATAGCTTTTATATAAAAGTTGAATCCATCTATCTATCCATCTATCCTTCCATATATCCATCTATCCATCCATCTATCCATCCATCCATCCATCTATCTATCTATCCTTCCATATATCCATCTATCTATCCATCCATCCATCCATCTATCTATCTATCTATCTATCTAACTATCTATCCATCCATCCATCTATCTATCTATCTATCTATCTATCTATCTATCTATCTAACTATCTATCCATCCATCTATCTATCTATCTAACTATCTATCTATCCATCCATCCATCCATCTATCTATCTATCTATCTATCTATCTATCTATCTATCTATCTATCTATCTATCTATCTATCTATCTATCTATCTATCTATCTATCTATCTATCTATCTATCTATCTATCTATCTATCCATCCATCTATCTATGCAGCAGCAACTCAGGTATTAGGCAGCATATTTTTTTTTATATATATAAAGGGCCACTCAGTTTATATTGAGACTATGAGGTTCATGATGAGTCAAGGCTTACTCACTTTGGGGACCATCCTTGCCATTTCAGAAGATACTCCACATTACCCTGAGGAGAAAGAGAAAGAGGGGGGAGACAGAGAGTTACTTATTACATTCACCCACATTTCCCCCCTCATTGTGGTGCATTAAGAAGCTAGAAGCAAGACCGAAAAAGCAGGACTGTCCCTTTAAGGGTCATACACATTGTCGGCCCTTTTTTTATTAAATAGTGTGTTTTCATGGGGGGGGGGGGGGGGGGTGACGTCAATGACGGGTGACGTGACCGCACATGGGCTCCACGAGCAGGTCTCTACAATGCTCGAGCTACTTCTAGAACACTTTGTGATAGGTGGGGCCACGCGAACATGTAAACAACGTGGTGTTGCGCAACCGGAATGATCACAGTCAAGAGAGGAAAATAACAACATGACCACATCCATGGGTAAACACAGTGAGCATGTGGAGGAGAGCTTTTATTTGTGAGCACATTTGTTTTTGTATAATTATTTGTTATTACATCACCATTTATTTTACATTACAGAGTACACTGTATGAGCACATGCTTCGTGAAAATAAGCCTTAAAAATCCACATGTTTCTCCAACGTGAAACAACCATCACGCAGCACGCAGTGTTATGTTATTACGCAGCATTTTCCCACCGATTCTCCGCTGCTCACTGGCGTAACTCATATCAAGTGCGTAGCTCCCCTCACTTTGTCCGTAAGCGCGTTTTCTGGATAGCCTACCTACACACCCCCTTCCCCGTCTTACTACAGCTGCGTGGGCATCACAACATGGCTGCAGCATCTCATGCAGCCTCACGGAGAGGCTGCAGGAGGAGACTCCTGCTGTGAAACATTCCTAAACTTTGGCACAGTGGATGGAAATAATAGATATATATCTCGTACGTAAAGTAGTTTATAAGGATATTGCCTAGCCTAGTTTTGTTGTGTACAGCGAATCGGAACACAGTGTCACTGTTCATTATTTGGGAAAACAAGCAAGTTATGTGTTGTGTGTTATTAGTTGTTCTTACCTTTCTCACTCTCTTCTTAGTTATTGACTCCACAGCAAACACTTGGTCTCCTATGAGTCCTATCGATGAGCGCTCCATCGCTCCAAACAACAACGGGGTCTCTGCTGGTTTATTTGAGAAGTGCCGAAACAAAAATAGTTATATGACCGGAAAGTGTCACTGCTGCTGCTCCGATTTCTGTTTCTCTCTCTTTCCTCTCTCCAAAAACTCCCTGAACCTGCCTCCCTGAAATCTGCGAGTGCGACACATCAACACAGGAGAGGACACGCCGCGCGCTGCTTTAAGTCCTGCGTACCGCCCCTCCGTTGCGTAGGAACCTTTATACAGTCTATGGTAGGAACGTAGGAACCGAGCCCCCAATGCGCGTTCCCGAGACGGCGTGACCGCGTACGCAAATTGGGGCAGAGTGCAGAGGAGGGTGAAGGGGGGTTGGGGTTGGGGTCAAAACCACAAGGTTAATAAACTTAGTGGATGGAGTGGAAAAACACAATGAGGGATTTCACAAACATTTTATTTTTAAAAACATAGAAATTCATTTATTTTAGGAGGAATTCTGACTCAGTGAACACATAGTAGACTTATATATATTTAAGATAAGATAATATGAATCTTTATTGATCCCCGTAGGAAATGCAGGTGTCATAGCAACAACAGAATAAGACAGAAACACAAATAGTATAAGAATACAACAACTAAAAAGTAGTAAAAGTTGCTCAACATCCAGTGTTTTGCACCATGGGAAACATGTCCTAATTATTCCAGTAGGAGGAATTGTAACACAGTGAACTAATCTTTTTTATTTATTTCAGCACATAACTTGCATTTTTACAGTTTTTTCACTTAACTTTTTAAGAATTTTTTATAGAAATAATTGTTTAAATGCAGCAAATCAGATGTGTAGCCAAATACCATTATCACAAATGTATTAAAAGGTAATAAAAGACAACAAATCAAAGCCCACTAATTAACATACCATTGGGATTATTATGTGCGGGAGGCGTGTGGTGCAGTGAGTTGTGTGTTGGTGTTCGGATCAGGGGGTCACAGGTTCAAACCCCACTGCAGTCAGCATGTCGTTGTGTCCCTGGGCAAGACACTTCACCCCAAATTGCTCCTGTGGGCACAGTATTGAGTATGTAAGTCGCTTTGGATAAAAGCTTCTAACAAGTGACATGTAATGTAATGTGCCCTAGCAGGGAGCATTTAGCATACAACAAATAAAATATTCAGCCCAAAGTTTCCCATAAATCGACAAATTATACACATTTTCTATGGAATCAAGAGCAACGAGTCAGTTGACGGCAGATGTTGTTGGTAATGCATGAAGCCAGGCTAGCTGTTTCCAGTCTTTATGCTAAGCTAGGCTAACACTCTGTTGACTATAGCCTTAACTTGTCACCAGAAAACACATTTTTATTCCTCACACTGTCAAACTATTCTGTTAAGATAATTCCAAACAGTTCATGTCAATGAAATCACGACCTAAAACTTGATATAAAAGCTTTCTGCTCTCTCACATGTAACGCTAAAGGTTTTGCACAGAACACACTGAACTCCAGCCTCACCGTCGAACAGAGCGTTATGTGCTTATGTATTTTTATGTAACAGTAGTAAAGGCAGGAAAGATCAGAATCTGCAATGGAGATGAAAGCCTCGCTTCACTCGCTGCTGGAAATGTTCACCCTCCAGCCGTGTTTGATCCAAATATGGAACAAAAACATCTTAATTTCACATCCTGAATGCTAAGCAACACCTCTGCAGAGAGCGCGGCTGTAAATAAGACTGAGAACAAACACTGATCCGGATCTCAGCAATAATTAAGACATTAATGATCATTTATGATTATTATATTTAATACTGTACACACACACACACACACACACACACACACACACACACACACACACACACACACACACACACACACACACACACACACACAACTCTTATCCAACTTCATACCTGAACGAGTGAGGACCGGGCATAAAGTGACTGCTATGGAAAAAAGGCCCAGAGCCAATATTTCCTATTATCTTTCAAAGGGGCTAGTGTGTATCAGATTACAGTAAAACTCTCTGTAACTCACACACACACATACATATACACACACACACACACACACACACACACACACACACACACACACACACACACACACATACACACACATGCACACCACACACATGCACACACACAGTCCACGGACACTGTGCACCTGGATCATTGCATCGCTTACGGCATTGGGTGTCATGGCAACTGTTTCTATAACTACCACGGAAAAGCTGGATGATGATGATTATGAAGATGATGATGATGAGACAGCGGGAAATGTTCAAGGCTGAAGAGTAATCCACCTCTACTGACCCAACTGTGACCTTTAACCTCTTAATACCCAGATTATGTCATCAGCACAACCAAAAAATTCCCATAATAATCAATCATTATTTGTATGGTTAACAGCATCTGTGGTATTAAGTACAGTAATCCTTTTTGTTGTGTTTTATGGAAGCATGTAGGTGTCTACATCTGTTCACTAGAGTGGTGACTAATAATTGTTCTGATAATTAAGGAATCTTTCAATTATTTTCTCAATAATTTGATAATCGTTTGGTGAATAAAAGATCAGAAAAAACGGAAAAATATCACATGCTTCAACAGCTGAAGTTGACTTTTATTTAATATCTTTGCAACAGTAATCAGTGTATTCAGTGTCTCGTTATCACACAATACTGGAATATTATATCAGATATGTTAGTTAGAAATGTTTTTTATGTTATGATTAATGGGTTATCAAACAGATAACATTTGCTGACAATTGACTCAGTTTATAATATTATCATCATGCTTCATCTCTCCTGATGTAACCATCCAAGTAAACCCTGATGACCTCACCATGACATCATCTGGGTTATTTCTGGTACTTTCAACACGCTCCCATCAGAGGTTCAATATTCTAATGTTGTTTTTGGGCCGAGTAGTACTCTTCATGACGGGTGAACTGGATAAAGTGGTGCAGGAATGAGTCCTAAAACCGGAAAATAAGTTAGCATTCACCATTTTTGGTTTTGTCGTCTTGAAGTCAATCATTTTGGTTGGATTCCTGAAATAAGATCTGTGGATAAAACAAGCTTACGAGATTTTCATATTTTGTTCTACGACATAAAATAAGTCAATAAATACCCCACTGGTGACTGTCTAAGGCTTTTGTGTCTTAAAAACGGCAGGTGTTACCAACAAGTGACTAAAGTAGACTATACTAGTACTAATACTACTACAGCTACTACTACTACTACTACTACTACCACTACTACTACTACTACTACTACTAACTATTACTACTACTACAGCTGCTACTACTACTACTAATTAATACTACTAACTACTACAGCTGCTACTACTACTACAACTACTACTACAGCTAATATTACTACTACAGCAACTACTACTATACTACTAACTACTACAGCTGCTACTACTACTACAGCTGCTGCTACTACTACTACTACTACTACTATACTACTAACTACTACAGCTGCTACTACTACTACAGCTGCTACTACTACTACAACTACTACTACAGCTACTACTACTACAGCAACTACTACAGCTACTACTACTACTACAGCTGCTGCTACTACTACAACTACTACTACTACTACTACTACTACTACAGCTGCTGCTACTACAGCTACTACTAGTTGTACTAGGGATGCTATGGTTCAGTGCGTTAGTCATCACGCCGAACATTATCCCCCTCTAATTTAGCGGTATGAAGTCATGTGACCGTGATTAAGTTCCTTTATACGTTAGCTTTTTATTTCTGGCGACTGCGTTTACGCTTCAGAGTCACAAAGTGTTGTTTGTATGTGTAGATTATCCTGATGAACAACACATAGTATCATGAGCATGTGTTCACCACATGTCTTATTTTCTCAAATTTCACAAAAGCCAATGGGATTTTTCCATTGGCTTTTTGTTGAGGGAGCCCTTGCTATGCTTAGGTCCTAATCTGTCTAAAATCAGAAAAATGTGTGGACTGGCCCTTTAAGTTTTTGCTATCATGCACAATATTCTTGTTAAAAGAGTTAAAAGGTATTTACTGGAGAGTTTAGTTATGTTATTGCTCACTTAGTACTTTAATATCCTTAGATATGTCTTAATCTTTCTCTGTGTTTTTTAATTCTTTTTTTACTTTTATGTATGTATGTATGTATGTATGTATGTATGTATGTATGTATGTATGTATGTATGTATGTATGTATGTATGTATGTATGTACGTACGACACCTAGTCAAATTCCTCGTACGTGTCAAACTACCTGGTAATAAGCCTGTTTCTGATTCTGAAAGGAACTGATGTGAGGGTGCACAGTAATCCTGCAGGATCTCACTGAGCTATATGGCTTCACAGCGCATAGGGTATCACTTTAAAACTGCAACACAGGAGGAAATCAGCGCTTTATGTTTCCCGTTAGGAGGAGAGGTTATAGCAGCAATTCTTCGAAAAATCACATGACCGCTTATCTGCCCGGATACTACGGCGTGGATGTGATCCCGGAGCAGAAACACCCGGCAGCAGGACGCAGATCTCTCCCTCCCACAGGCTCTGACTCACGCATGACTCACCAGACGTGACGGTAAAATCACCGCCGCTTCTCTGGAATAATAACAACAGAGAGGGGGGGGAACAGCAGAGAGGGGTCATTTACTGCCTCATACCGGGAATACATGCGTTTCCTTTGTACCTTAACCCTGGAGGGATTTCACTTTCAATATGTGTTACAGAGGCAGGACTTTTGGGAACATAATTAAAAGTACATTCTACAGTAAAACACAAAAGCAAACTTTGCCTGACATGTATGATCAAGGGAAATATTTAACAGTTTATGCAACAGACTTATTAACATTCAACATTTGGAACCAGTTACACCCACACAGTGTGCATGCATGCAGGAAAACACCAGGGACAGTAGTGGAAAGTTTCTGAGGTGTTCCGGATTTATGATACTTTCCACTGCTACTCCATTACCTTTATAGTTGTATACTGGTTTTAAATAGCATTTTTTATTGTGTTTCCGTGTCACTATTTCTTAATGTCTTTCATGTTTGTGAAGCACATTGAATTGCCTTGTGTTGAAAGGTGCCATATAAAAAAACGTGCATTGCCTTATTTGACAGCTGTAGTTAACAAAATACTTAAAAACAGTTAACGAATAATAAACACCATAAAAAAAAGAATAAAACTATCCGAGTAAAAAAGTAATGTTGAAAGATAAAGAAGAATACATAAATGTGACCAAAAATGTGAAACAAATGTATA